CAAAATTTGTTATGGTTTATAATGGCAAATGATACTTAGAATATTACATGTTGATAACTTGATTGGAATTATAACCCTAAGTTGACAGTTTGATATTTTGTAAATTTTGAGCCATCCCTACCCCCTGCTAAAATTGAAAAAAAACATTTTCCTTGTTTAGAATCAGAGGTGCTAGTTTCAAATACTTTTCAGTCTTAAATGTGCAGGCTAGATATTGAATAAGGTGGTTTTATTGTTTTTTGTCACTTTGAATAATATCTTTGTTGATGTTAAAAACAAATATCAACTCTCTGTTTAAATATATCAGGTGACCATTAAGGCCCATGGGCCTCTTGTTTTTAATATTTTCTTCAGGTTGGTAAGTATGGATTATGAAAAGTACTTTTTACATAACCAATAAGAGATTCTATATGATGTTTTTGATGATTAGTACCATATATACACAGTAAACGCTGTCACCTTCATCAGACAAATAACCAGTGAAGCGTATGCACACAAAGGTGTAAAATGTGTACGAGTTGTCCACAAAATCGATGTTGATTTGGCTACGGATGCAATAACTGCGACGAATTGTATATTGGAGAGACTGGTTCCAAGACAGTGTACATACCGTACGTACTAGTCATCGAAACGTCACATAGAAACTCTTATTGGTTGTATAAAAAGAACTTTTCATAAAGGTCTGTAACTTTTGTTCTATTTGATGGATATAAATGAAACTTATGCAGTGCACATTTTGGATCTTTGTCATGTTTCTTCATAAGTTGGCTTCTTTCATTAACAGGAGAAGGGAAACTGTCCTCTACATGTGGCTGCCCAGAGTGGCCAGCCTCTCCAAGGAGAACTACTAGTCATATACGGGGCTGACCCTGGGTCGTACGATGCCAATGGAAAAACACCTATAGACCACGCAAGGTATTAAAATATGCTTCTTAAATACTGTTAACGTGGAAATTTATGTACTTTGCACTTATCATTTCCTGTTCAGGTTTGTTGTGTTAGTGTTTTCCTCACACAATGACAATTAAAATGTATTATTCACATTGTGAGTTTTGTCTTTCTCAAAGTATATAAAAATTGTGAAACCTTCTCAAAATGTCATCCTACAGATCTAGATTACTGTAGGTTTGACACCAAGCATGGGAATATCCTGTGCCCGGTCTACAGCAGTCTTAAAATAATTGCCAAGATTTTGTTCATATTGTGATGAACCTTGTCGAAAACACTGCTTGTCCACATCAGGCACATGTTATTTGATCTGTGTGAAATAAAATCAGAAAACTGCTGAGGAGAGGAATGTAGGCAGTTGTCAATTTATTTTATTTTTTTATCAAAAACGAATGAAAGTAAAAAAAGACTTAGTTAATATATCAATGAGTTGTTGACACTTTGTTTTATGTTGGCGGGGTTATTATGTTTGAATTATTGTCACTCCATATTATTTCCACAGATCGGAGGGACATAAAGACTTAGCCGATAGATTAATAGAATGCCAGTATGAACTCACTGATCGTCTCGCCTATTACCTCTGTAAACGTAAACCAGGTAAGCTGTCAGGGATGTCCCTATTCACTTCTAACGTAAGAAATATATAAAATATACTGATGATTTCATAAAGCGGATGAATTTCAGGGAACCAAACCAAACAATATATATATATATATATGTAAATTGTATATTTCTAATAAAAATAGCACCAAGGAAAAAAGTTAAAAAATAGATAATGAAACTTAATGCTGACACTTCTGTATGATGATATACATTGAATCGTAAGAGATTTTTTTTTTTAATTTGAAAAACGAAATAAGGATGAAGAAAAGTTCTGATATATATGAACACAAAGGTTTTGGAAACTCTTAGTGTGCTACTGGTGGTGATACTTTGTTTATGTCTTTTCTAGATCATAGAAATGGTTGTCATTTCATCATCCCAGAAATGGCTGATAAGTAAGTAACGTTTTCTCTATTGAATTGTGTGGAAGACTTGGTATAAGGATAGGGGTATGTTCTGTCATATAACTTTACACAGTCGGTTTGTAACAAGTATAATTGTACCGTTCTCAAGGCTAGTTGTCCAATTTAAAAAGACATAAAAATTTACCAGGCCTATTTCTTTTCGAAAGGAATAAATTCCCAAATTCCTTGACACAGACAATTAATGTACGGGCCCATACATTTGTATAGACCAAACCAGTGGCTTTATGGGGGTTTTTTTTCATTGAAAGTACAATTCCAAGTAGATCTGGAAAAATTATTCGGCCTAAAATATCTACCAAAATTCCTTTCTCAATATGATTCTTTAACCATTGCACCCAAGCAGATTTTGTTAAAAACAAAATATTGCTGATCTAAAACTGTTTTCTTCTTATTCTTCTTCCAATGAAGTACAGTCTACCATATGGTGTATTGACGTACTTATTACGTTTTAATAGGATAAGAAGTCCTGAAATTTTCTTTTTATTCTACTTGATTTTTTTATGAAAACGTTCAACAACAATAAAAACAAAAAAACAAAATTAATGAGTCAAAAATGTGTACAGCAGCTATTGAAAATAATACAGCCAAATGTATAAGTAACTTCATTGGAGAGTTTTAAAAATGGTTTCTTAATACAGATGGTCTCTTAATTGAGTTGGTCTCTCAATCAGGTTGACGGTAGCTTTGTGTTGTATTTTTTATACTAAAGCTGTTGTTTATTTTCTGTTTACAGTAGTTTAGATATGTCAGAATTAGCCAAACAAGCAAAGAAAAAGTTACAAGCAGTAAGTATAAAACTTTTTGAAAACATTTCTCAAAAAAGCATGATGTCAGTGATATATGCAGTGTTGAGAAGTGATGTTTAATCCAACTTGAAAGAAACTATGCAATGTTACAGAAAATGTTCAGGATTTTTAAATTTCAGATTTTACATTTTGAAATTTAGGAAGTGTCGGGGCTAGGTTTTGAAAAGTTTTGTTCCAAGACAAAAAAAGTGAAGAATCATATAGAAATATATCTTAACATTATTTAGGATTCCCAAAAATTGTTTTGTTTCAATTTGATATAAGTTTGGCTTCATTTCAAACTGTGGTAGGTATGATGGGAGACTTAACTTTACTGCTTTCTTTTCAGTTACCCAATCATTTGTTTGAAGAGTTAGCGATGGATGTGTATGATGAAGTAGATCGCCGAGAAAACGATGAACGTAAGTTAATGTGTTTCTGTAGTTAGGTTTCAATATTGTTACCATCATTAAAAATAATGTTTCATAACTTTTTCTTGGATTTTTTTCTGTAGGCATAAGCTATATATACAATGCTTGTGTAGTTGATATATTATAGTTACCTGTCTATGCATAGTTTAACTCATTCACCCCTGAAATTTCATAATGAACTATTCCAACCTTTGAATTGGAAGAGCTCAAATGTGTCTTTAGGAATATGAATGAGTTAAAATATCATACACACTTAAAGGTGTTTTCTTATTTTCATGTATTTAACCTTTGAATATTAAAGTTACACACTCCAGTAATGCGGACATGATCTTTTTACGATATTTTTATCTTTTTTTGAACAAATCGAAATATTTCATTTGGAAAAAAGACACCCTCAGTAGCCTTTGTTTTTTAATTTTCAGATTGGACAGCAACACACGAAAATGCTTCAATAGTCAGTGACCGACAAGGTGTGCCCTTTCTTCCCCTCAATCCAGATTTCTCCGCCACCAGGAACCAGGTACGTTTTACAAAGTAAAAGTAGATCAAGACATTATTTTTAACAGCTTTTTTACAATGACTAAATAATACAGAAAAAATATTATTGGACAGGAAATACTTTTCTTCATTTATTGTTAAGCTGTTCTTTCTTGGATATCCACTGTTCATGTATTGATGTCATTTTCACCAGATAAAATTGAGAAAATAATGTATACTTTTTTCGCCCAATATTAAATTTGCCCTTTGCATTTAATTACACTTTTTATTATGTTGTTTACATATGTTCGTAGCAATAATAAATTCACCCTCATTACGGGAGGCAACACTGTGAAAATTAAACTGCTGCAAAAATTTCCTGGTATACAGTATGCAAATTTATAACATGAATATTTGATCAATCCTTTATCTAGTCTGTCATTGATGTCCATTTTTATCATAATGTCCTCAACAGTTTATTGGTTTGGCCATATTTTGGCATCATCTACCTATTTTGATAATAATTAAAAATAATTTCTGAAATTTGTTTAGAAATACTAACTTTTGAGGTCCCTTTTTGAGTTTGTTAGAACTTTGTATCACTGTATAAAGTATGCTCCATCAAAGTAATCATGATATCTTTTCTAAGATATTATCAATTTTAAAATAAGTTACCCTGAAACAGTAATCCTAGAATTTTAGGGTTGTTTTAACCTTTGTTGATAATACCTGGACCTTTCAGGTTGTTTATACTATGTAGACCTAAACAGCGTTTCCATATGACGGGGCTACTGATTATTGTAAATTAAATATTTCCACTCCATTATATTTTCAACCTTGTATCTTACACTGTTTTGAAATTATAGTTAAGATTAGGGACTGACTGTTAAATTTGCCACCTAGATATTTTTGCCAAATTGAACATGGATGAAAAATTCTTATTTTACATTAATGACTGTACTCTACAAAAATCTAATGATTGCTTTCAACAGGGTCGTCAGAAACTTGCCAGATTCAACGGAAGAGAATTTGCTACCTTAGTGATAGATATTTTAAATGATGCCAAACGACGACAAACTGGAGTTATGTCCCCTGTACAGACACCTAAAGGTAGGCAATGCTGTGGTGTTCCTTTTTATCTCCTTTTGGAGAACTTCAGCTGTATGTAGTTGTATTTATTTGTAGTTTTGTCTATCAATATTTTATACAGGTGATGGTTTAATGAAACAGTAGAATTGGTTATGAAAACATCAGCATTACAGAGACTTCTCGGGATATTTAAAAGACTGATCATGATCAGAAAATTCAGGATCATGGGATTCATGGCCCCTCTTTGTATTTTCCATATGATCAAGGTTTCTGGATTATGAAGAGCTTTATTTTGATGGATAACACTTCATGATTGTTACTGCTGTAACTGTTTCAGAATTGAAAACTCCATGTCATATCAATCGTAAGCAGTACTTAGATATCTGTACCTAGTGTATAATATGTGTTATGTTTATTAACCAATTGGATTGCTATTGTTGTTACTTTCTATATGGCCCAAAAACATTTAAGATCATCTAATAGGACCTAAGGGTGTAAATAAATCGCACCACACAAGAACAAAAGTGAAAACTGTTCTACACTTAACTTAGGATAAATGGCTCTTGTTTAAAATAAAAAGTCTTGGCAATAAGGGAAGCAACTCTGTTTGTATTGTACCATTTTGATATATGTTTTGTGTTGTGTCTTTCTCTGTGTTTTTACCATATACCTATATGTAGCTAGTATTTGTATCGGGTAGAGCAAATTTGAAAAAATGTATTTCATGTTAATTTATAAGACCAGTTTATTTACCTATTTTGGATCCAAGTTTTAAAAGTTCTACTGCTATCACTGTATACATGTGTATAGTGAGCTCTAAACCAGACTCTGTCCAGTCAGGATTTTTATACAAATTGACCAAAGAATTTGGTTCTGACGATGACCATGTATTACAAGTAGCTCTCATCAATCTGGAACTCTCTGCAAATCAGTAGCATTATGTGTTTTTTGGGGTTATGTCAGTTTATAGAGTACATTGTATAACTGTTCAGCATCTGCAAGTTAGGTAACTTGTTGTTATTAAACAGAAATGAAAATATTCAGCCTTTTGGCTGATTTCAGTTTTTTTCAGAATTAAAAGGGGCTGCATGGTCGGGGAAAAAATTACAAAATAAATGGGTCTTAATGCATTCTCTGGCCTTCCAAAAGTTATACCACGGCAGAATATGATGGTCGAGTTCTGCTTGCAATGTCCAGGTTTGACCACTGAAATCTCGGGGAAGCTCCGCGTAAATTTAGCGCAGATCTATTTATATATGTTACGTGGTTGTTTCGAAAGTGAGGCAGTGAAGATAACAACAATAGCACGCCATCATGTGCCATGTCGGACTCAACTGCCGGAAAAGACAGCAATACTATACGTAAATAATTGTTTTCAAAGGTCATGTATGATGCAAGTGAAGTATTCCTACCTATATGTTGTTGTTATATATAACAGTATTGATACCTTGTGCCTGTCATGACTTTTGCATGCATCTTTTTCTTTCGCCGCGATGTGTACATTCGGCCTTCTTGATGACGCGCGTGCGGTAGAATTACATCACTGATCTGGGTCAATTGAGAGTTTTAGACTGTCAGGTGAAGATTTAGGATTTCTTTAATATAATTGTAATTTTTACTCTTAGGGAGTGAATTTCAGCAAAATTTGAATCAGTATATTTCATAAGAAGGTATTTTAAACATGTGTAAGCCATTTTAGCAAATATGACATTTTTTCCCCGACCAGCCCCTTTAAGGATAATGCCAACTGTCGATTTTTTGCCATTGAGTGGATTGAAAAACTACTTTTCAGCCTTTTTGCCCATATTAAAGCTCATTTTCGTCTCTGTTTAAAAATTATTGTTTAGCAGTAGTATGAATTAGTTTCAGATTAGGAGATAATTGTTTAAACAGTATTCTGAATGTGATGATGACAGTTAGGTCACATTTCCATATGAGGTCAGTGTTTTACGCTTCAGTAATTACAGACGATCACTGACAAGTATATACCGGTATATAAAAAGGTGACAGGAAATTTTAGTTTGTATGAAAGTTGAATATAATGAAATAAAATTCTGATATAAATCCCCAAATATTCGTTTTGGTGGCCACCTGAAATATTCAGAAATTTCATATGTTCCACTGTGTTACACATACATGTACATTGATCATCATTATCAGCTGGTGTCCTGTTGAAGAGCATTTGCAATTTCAGGAACTCTATTGATTTTTTTTGGGATCTTCTAAAGGTCAAGGTTGCCATTATTAAAAATAGAATTTTCTTGTCAGGCTGTTTTCTTGTCAAGAACAAATGATGACAAAAAACTCAGGCTTGGTATGTGGGTGAGCCTCAGAAAGAAGAAGGACCCTATTGATATTAGGTCAAAGGTCAATGCCACTTTTTCTTAAAATGGATTTTTTTTTACCAGATGTACTAACTTTAAAACAAATCACATAACCTTACACTTGGTATGTGATTTTTCTTAGAGAAGAGGAAGAATCTTATTGTTTATAGGCATGGCAACTCAAAGGTCAAGGTCACTTAACAAAAAAAAAAGGTTTCATGGATTCAACTACTTTTCCAGAAGCTAATTACTTCAGAATGAATGGTCACACGAAGTTCAAACTAAGAATATTGGTTTCCCTAGGGACGAATCGTTACGAATGATGTTGATTTTGGGCATGATTTGTTATAGGTCAAGGTCACTTTTAAAATAACTATTTTCTTTTCTGCATCATACTTTCTAAACAAGTGATCACATTACAGCTCATACATGTAATGATTTGGCATAGTCTATCAAAGGTCAAGGTTGCTTTTACTTAAAATAGAATTTTGTCCTATCCTATTTAAACTTCAGGACAAGAATTTTGCAAAGCTCATTGTGGGTTACCCTAGAAGGGAGAAGAACATTATTCATTTTTAGTGTGATTTGTCAAAGGTCTAGGTCGGTGTTTTGAAAATTCGAATTTTCGAGAACCTATCTTTGAGGTTACAGCTTCCATCTACAGATGTAATGGCAACCATTTCACAATAATTTACGCATCAACATATGTTGCTCAGGTTTGTTTTTTGGGGGGTGTTATGTTGCCCCTGAAGGCTTTCTCATGGTAATATCTAGACAGGAATATTTGCTGTGCATTTGTGATGTGATTGTATTGCTGTTTATGTGTGCCATCACATTGAGTGATAAAACACATTTGTAAACTTGACCGTGATATGGGTTGTTTTGCATGTGTATTATCCCTCGGGCTGATATGGGAGTCTTGGGCTGATATGGGAGTCTCGGGCTGATACGGGAGGCTTGGGGTCTTGGGCTGATATGGGAGTCTTGGGCTGATATGAGAGTCTCGGGCTGATATGGTAGTCTTGGGCTGATATGGGAGTCTGGGGCTGATATGGGAGTCTGGGGCTGATATGGGAGTCTTGGGCTGATATGGGAGTCTTGGGCTGATATGCGAGTCTCGGGCTGATATGGGAGTCTTGGGGTCTTGGGCTGATATGGGAGTCTCGGGGTCTTGGGCTGATACGGGAGTCTTGGGCTGATACGGGAGTCTTGGGCTGATATGGGAGTCTTGGGCTGATACGGGAGTCTTGGGCTGATACGGAGTACGATATGGAAAATAGTCGTATGATAACTTCTAATAAGGTATCGAAAAAATATGTGATGGTGTTATTGTATTTGGTACAATACAATATGCTACGTATAAAATATGGTATTTTGCTGCTATTAAAAATGTGTTGGGGGGGGGGGGGACCATGGACTGGTGTTATCTATAGTGGTGGGAGGTAGGAACAATTTAGATATAATGATAATTTCGTTTAACTACAGAACACACAGGCGTTATTTTCCACATCTTCAGATTAGTGGTGATATGGGATTACCATAACAAGGAAGATATCTGGTTGACTGTATAACAGGTGGTCTACCTCCTCCTCTACAGCCTCTCACGACTACTCACAGACATGTACTCACATGGTGGGAGGGAGGAGACTGTTGTGGTGCTCAGAGTTTTGCAGTGATAGAGTTTTCAGTCTTGTGATAGAATGAAAATTGCATGTTCCTAATTTAAGCTTGCGTTTGGGTTTTAATGATATCTTAATGAAATCAAGGTTATGTCCAAATGATACTTAAATATACGAAAATGAAGTTGTGTGTACAAGTATAGAGGAAAATGTTCTGCTGTTGAAACAGAAATAGCAGAATGTATGAATTTTGTAACTTTGAAGGATGTTGTTCATAAATGATGTTGAACGTATTGATTGCCATTAGGATTATGGCAAGAATGTAAATGTACAAGGGACTCCAAGGTATGTTTGATCATCTGCCAGTGATGCATATACATGTTATGCCACCTGGTGAGCAGGATGGGTTGATTTGTAAATTCATATCAATGCTAATTCACTTTCACAGGACTTGGCAATTTCTTTCAACTCTTTCGTTCAATACCTTACCCTGATATTACTGGCCATGAGCCATCCGGTCAGTGTTAAATTTAGGTCCACACCATCCTCAATACTCCAGGGCTTAGCTCATTTACACTCTCTGCACCCCTGGAATATGTCATAGCAAAATTGAAGGCACATGGCTAGCTATTTGATTGGTCTCAGGTTAAAAAAAACTTGACCAATCACTAGGCTGATACTTGTACTTTGAAGATAACAGAGGAGCAACACTCGACTCCAAAGCTAGTCAGTTTTACCGTTACGCAGCCGCACGATCCTTTTGATGTACATCAAGGATCAAACTAGTCTTATCCTGTCAGCCACCAGGTGGTGTACAATTGGCCTTCACTATTGTCATGATATATTCCAGGGGTGCAGGTGTCACAAAACATTAGACATCAAGTATCCCGGTACCACGGTACCACTGCCAAAAACTGTAAATAAACATTAGAAACTATTTATCTGGCATGATTTTAGCATTTGTAATTCTAAGAAGAAAATCACACTTTACGGGATTTTTTATGAAAAGAATGAAGATAAAGAGATCAAAGAGAAATAATCCACAACAGTGTTGTCAGAGTACAAATTCAGTGGGGCT